TTCAGAGGACGGCGGAAGACAGCAGGGCCTGGCGTGATATGGTCCCCGTGGTTGCGAAGAGTCAGGCTCGACTGTGGGACTGAACAGGAACAAAAACCCCATCATGCGGCTGGAGATATGGCAAAGAAATATGAGCCAATGTGGAAGAGGTGCATGCACGTCCCAACATTCAAAATGGAATGCCAAAAACCAATAAAATAAATAAATAAGGTCTCGGCCTGCATAGGCCGTGCATGTGGTCTTTTCAAAATGCAAAATGAATTTCATACTGGCCCAAAATGGAAACTGAGCCCGTTGGCTGCACATGTGACGATCCGTGGTAAAGCAAGCATAGAGGAGCCATTATCGAAGAAGGCAGGTAGATAAAGGCCAGCTTAAATCCCAAAGCATCAAGAAAAGTGCCGCTCCTATGAATACACAGCCAGATAATCGGAGCCAGTGGGATTCTATGGCGGAATGGCGATCGCTTTTCCGTGTACAGTGCATCTCCTCCAGACCATAACCGAAGGCAGGCATGGAGGGGATTTTGCTGTAACATAAATTCAACTCTTTACAAACAGCCACAATGCAGTCGACGGAGACCGAATGGCTCCATCGTGGGGGGGGAGGCGGAGGGCCCGGTGGCGCCGCTCCGCTGCCTCGAGTGATTGGGTCGCTCCCACCGCAGCTTCCAGGTATTAATAGAAGCTTTCAGAGCTGATAGAAAAGTTTTCACAAAAAGAGGGCTCTTGCGAACGGAATTAAATATGGGCCAGCAACAGAAGGGATTGGAAGTGCTGGTTGGGTGGGTCGGACAGGACAGTGTTTGTCACTTGAGGTCCATGAAGAACAGCTTTGGCTGCCAGCTAGATTCGAGTCCAGTAGAACCGTAGAGGCACACAAGACTTTGGGGCGATAAGCTTTGAAGAGTCAAATCAAGTCAAGTTTATTGGGGTTCAACAGCTCCTAGGCCATACTCTATAAAGCAAACTTTAAGAATTAAAAATCACAGGAAGAAGAAGAAGAGGAGGAGGAGGAGGAGGAGATTGGATTTATACCCTGCCCTTCACTCAGAGTCTCAGAGCAGCTTACAGTTTCCATTCCCTTCCTCTCCCAACAACAGACACCCTGTGAGCAATGTTCCCTCTAAGCTGTGGAGTCTTGTGAGCAAAAATTCTACTTTGTGAGCCACTGGCATTAAAGTTGTGAGCGAGCGATTTGGCTGCTGCATAAATTAGTTTGCTTGGAGCCATCCTTCCTGAGCGGAGACAAAAATGTGTGAGCCGGAGACTAAAGAACTGTGAGCTAGCTCACACTAACTCAGTTTAGAGGGAACAGTGCCTGTGAGGTAGGTGGGGCTGAGAGAGCTCTGACAGAAACTGCTCTCGAGAGAACAGCTCTGAGAGAACCGTGACAGACTCAAGGCCACCCAGCCCGCTGCTTGTGGAGGAGTGGGGAATCAAACCCGTTTCCCTCAGATTAGAGTCCGCCGCTCTTAACCACGGCACCAAAAATGTTTGCCACGTCCACAATAAAGCTTTTGCTGAGGTGACTTGGGCGTAATCTTAATCTCGAAGCGTCAGGGATGGGCAAGTACTTCAGTAGCCCTTTTCTAAGAAATCTCTTCCTGGCCGTTGCATACTTTGGACAGTGGAGAGAAGGTACGGGGCAATGAATCAACCACTGCCAAAGGGCGATCACAAAAGCGCCTGTCTGGAGGTGTCAAAGAGGACAACAAGATTTTGGGGGGTATCGGCTTAGAGACCAATGAGATTTGGTCTGGATTCGGATCTAGCTGTTCTACCGGAGACCAGCACGGCTGGCCTTTGAAACTCGGAGTTGACATTAGAAAGGCGTGGGCTTTGCAGCGACGTTCCCTTGAGCCGCTCCGTGCTTTCTGATGACAGCCCAATGGACACAAAAGCATACCAATAAGAAACGAGGGTGGCCAGCTCTTGGTTGGGAATTTTCTGGAGATCGCGGGGTGGGATCTGAGGAGGGCCCGCTTCGGGGAAGGGGAGGGGACCACCGCAGGGTACAATGCCACAGAGCCCACCCTCCAAAGCAGCCATTTTTCTCCACGGGAAACTCATCTCCGGTCTGGAGATCAGCGTTAATCCAAGGAGTTCTCCTCACCTGGAGATTGAAGCAACAGAACAAAAAAGCTGTAGAAAAGCGCTACTCATTCCGAGAGAAACAAGCAAATTATAATAGCATTCATATAATTACAAAAAAGTGCAAATGAAGTCCATAATAATGATGGTTGTTGACAGGGGTCGTTTCGTAGAAAAAGAGCTAGGGGAACTCATTAGCATAACTCATTTGCATATGCCACACCCCCTGCCATCACCGGACGTGTGTCATAAAGCCACACCCACCACTCAGTTAGTCTTAGTCTTAAAGGTTAGTCTTAAAGGTGCTATTTGTTAGTCTTAAAGGTGAACAGACTAACACAGCTACCTCGGGGAAGCTCCTGGATGGGGCTGGGAGTCCTTGCGGAGGCCACGTGGAGTGGCCTCGGCCAGGCAGAGGGGGAGGACGCCAACTTACCCTCCTGCTTCTTCCTCCTTATGCAACAGAATGAGGCTGGAAGCAGGGGGCGGCTGGAAGAAGGGGGTGGGGCTTCATCGTGTGCCCCGCCCCCTGCATCTCACCTGGGGGAACCGCGATCCCCCGCGATCCCCCCCGAATCGACCTCTGGTTGTTGACGAAGTTTTCCAGAGTAGTTATTCGTTCCGTGAAAAACTTCATCCGAAGTTATTTGTTTCGTGAATGACGTCTTCCGAACGAGGACCATGAATTTCAAAAGTGCGCCTTCTGTCTTTGATCCAGCGTCGAGTGCAGTTCTAAGAAATCACATTTTCGCCAGGAATGGTTCCACATCGTTCTAGAAGTGATAAGCTCCGACAGGCAAAGTAGACAATACTAAAGCCTACAATTATATTGTTTCTCTTGGAATGAGTAGCACTTCTCTGCAGCGTTTTGCTCTCTCACCTGGAGGTTGGCAACCCCGATTTTAATAAAGAAGAAACGAACGACCAAGGCTCAGAAGGAAAGGAAATAAAGCCATGATAAACCCATGCTAAACACTGGGTTCCATGGATGGGCAAACCCCGAGTCTAGTGATCAGCTCAGCTTTATTAGTGATTCAGCAGGTACAAGACTAAACCCCAGGGCCACAGCCCTGTTTAAGTAGCATGCAAAGACCACACCCAACCACACCCAACTCCCAACGATAGGCTATTTACATCACATCAAGTCCTCATTGGCTGCCTCCAGAGTCCTGGTGGGCTATTGTTCTAGAGCTCCAAGATCAGCCCGTCTCTGGTAAACAGTCCTGGGATGTTCCAGCCCCAATACATAACGACCCATTCCCAAACCCAGCAGGATTATGATTAGGAAGGGCCGTGGCTCAGTGGAAGAGCATCTGCTCAGCATGCGGAAGGTCCCCAGGTTCAATCCCCGACATCTCCAGTCCAAGGACCAGGTAGGAGGCAATGTGAAGGCTCTCAGCCTGAGACCCTGGAGAGCCGCCGCCGGTCTAAGTAGGCAATGCTGACTTTGATGGACCCAGGGTCTGACTCAGCACAATGCAGCTTAATGTAATCACGTGAACTTCCCGACAGAGCAGTTCCTCCGTGGAACAGGCTTCCTCAGGAGGTGGTGGGCTCTCCTTCTCTGGAAGTGCTTAAGCAGACACTAGGTGGCCATCTTCTTACAGTAACCCCTGTAAGAAGAGGTTTGCAAGCTCTTGGAGGATTGGCTACATTAGGGGGGGTGTTGCCTAATATACCAAGGAGTTCCTGTATCTATCTATCTATCTATCTATCTATCTATCTATCTATCTATCTATCTATCTATCTATCTATCTATCTATCTACCTATCCATCCATCCATCCATCCATCCATCCATCCATCCATCCCAGGGCTCTTTTTGTAGCAGGAACTCCTTTGCATATTAGGTGACACACCCCCTAATGTAGCCAATCCTCCAAGAGCTTACGGAGCTCTTCTTACAGGGGTTACTGTAAGCACTTGGAGGATTGGCTACATTAGGGGTGTGTTGCCTAATATGCAAAGGAGTCCCTGCTACAGAAAGAGCCTTGCACCCATGGTAATGCTGATTGCCAATTTGGGTCAGGAAGGAATTTTCCTCCAAGCTAGCTTGGTCCAGGGATTCTGGAGGCCTTTTCCCTTCTTCTGGGCATAGAGCGGGGGGGGGGGGGGCCGGGGGGGGGGGGGGGTGGGGGGTTTCCTGCTT